GGCGGGCGGCTGCGGCCAGTCCCAGCAGTAACCGCGCGGAGCCGCCAGCTGGTGCTGATGCGCTGCTATAGGTTTTTACTCTCTTCCGCACCAACTAACTTATAAAAGTGAAGAGTTATACTCTAGGGAATGGCGTGCAGGGACAAAATGTGCCTCAGCACTATCAGCTGTAGTCTGTGGCACTGAGCTCCCGTGGAATCTTGTTTGAAAATGGGTCCCTCAAATCTTACTGTGATGGATTGATGGAGGCACAGAAGATGCACTCTACTGTCCTAGGCACCCCGTTGTGACCTGGGCTCTTAGCACCCACCAGTAATGAAAAAAAGGAAAAGGCACAAACCGCTATCAAGAATCCGCAGCTAATGTTACCTTTTATCTTCATTACTCTCTTCCTCAAGCATCTCTCCCTCTGCCGAAGACCTCTTAGCTCTTCTAGGTACTGCCTTAACCTCAAATCTGGACATGGGAAGAATGGGTTCCTTTGCTAGACTAATGCTAAGGCATCTGTAAAGAGCCAGCTCCACAATCGAGGCCAATGGTGGAAACACTGAGCAGCACTGGCTGCTAGTTTTGGAAACTAAAAATGTGGCTTTGGACTCTTAAAAGGAGACTTTACAAACTACAACTGAGCCTTTGCAATGTAAAAATGATGCTTTGGAGCCTAAAAAATGAGCCTTTGGAAGACCAAACTAAGACTTTAGAAAGGAAAAATGAGGCTTTGGACAGTACAAATGGAGCTTTGGGCCGTAAAACAATGCTTTCTGCCGTAAAAGTGAGGGTTTAGACCCTAAAATGGAAACTGTGATCCCTAAAAAATGTCAGGGACACCCTAGGGACCCTCCCTTTACCTTGCTGGGCAGCAGCAGGGCGATGGGCATGGGGGTGGACAAGTCTGTATCTGCGTGAAATTATGGTTCACATGAGGGGGTGGTCTTTTGGGTGAATTTAGGGGATTTTGGGGATTGGAGGGGAAGTACCAGTGAGGAAGGTGACAGTGCCATGGTCAGTGACCATGGTGCAGACGGGTTGGTGGAGGCCAGTGGGGTGTGGGGCCAAGTGGTACACATACCAAGTAGTACACCTGCCTCTCCTCTGGGTTGAAAGATGAGGGGGTTAGTGGGCTGAATCTGGGGGGGGGGGGGGGTCCACATTCTCCCCACCCAAACCTGTGAGGAGCAGAAGTGTCCAAGTCATGCCCGTGAAGGATGGGGAGGCTGAAGGAGATTGCAGTAGCTTTGTGCCAGTACCAACTCCTCTAATGCTGCCTCATGGCCCAGTGGAGCAGCGCAACTGTCATAAACTTCTGGCACATCCTCCACCACTGGCTCTATCGTCACTGCTTCTGCCCCCACCGTGCTTTCTGATAGATAATGTGCAATAGCTGTGGGGAGAGAGGAGGTGAGAGCATCAACCACTGCTTTGAGGGGGAGACCCCAGACCTGCCACCTTCCCCTGCTCAACTCACCATCTCAGGAGGCATATACTCCTGCTCCTCACCATCCTTCAGGCTGCTGTGGGGTCACTTGGGCTGTGGTGTGGGGTTGTGGGTGAGGTGATGGCAGGGGCACCACCACAAGCATCACTGCCCTCCTGGGTGGTCAGGCTGCCCAGGAGCAGCACCCATCCTTCACCTGAGGTGATACTGCCTTGGATTGGTCCCCTAGGCTGTCACTATGCCCTGGATTGAGGCCTACCCTTTCCCTAAGGGCAGCCTCTGATTGGCCCCCAGGTGGTCAGGCTGCCCAGGTGCTGTTCACCTGAGGTGATGCTGTCTCCGATTGGCTGCCTGGGCTTTCACTCTGCCCACCCTTCCCTGAGGTGATTGGCTGCCTGGTATTTCTCCCTTGCTCCTCCCATCAAATGATGGGTCAGACAGCTTATCAGTCATCTGCGTGCTGCTCTACCACTAGCTGTGATTGGTGGAGCCCACATGCCCTGCCCCCAAACAGTGCCAAGCTTTTTCATCTCTTGCCATATTTCCTACAAGCCTTGAGGATTGATTGTTTGGTTACGTATCAGTTGTGTGCCTTGCCCCCACCTCCTCAAATGCGACTGGCTGTCCAGGGTCTGCTGAGTCCTGGCAGATGGGCAGATGAATGTTACCAGGCAACAACCTCCACCTTCAGGGTTTGGACCCTTGGATTGGAACTATGGGCCCTAAAGAAGGGCTATGAGTCATAAAAGATTGGTTTAGTCCCTAAAATTGAGGATTTTCGCCCTAAAAATGGGATGTTGGAAATGAAATTGAAGCTTTGAACCCTGAAATTAGGTTTTGTGCCCTCAAATGATGGTTTAGTACCAAAAACTGACGCTTTACATGCTAAAAATGGGGCTTTGGAGGCTCAAAATGAGACTTTGGGCCCTCCAAATTGTGGACTGAATCCTAAAAAAAAGGCTTTGAACCCTGAAAAAGAGGCTTTGGAAGGTAAAAATGCAGATTTAGGCCCAAAAATGAACCTTTGGACTCTGTAAATAAGGCTTTGGACGCCCAAAATCAGAATTTGAGCCTTCAAAAAGATGCTTTGGCCCTTCAGATGAGTCATTGGACCTTAGAAGTGGGGCTTGGAACTTATTAATGAGGTCTTGGACCCTGAAAGTGAGGGTTTGGACTCTAAAAATGAGGCTTTTGGCACCTAAAAATGAGGCTTTGAGCCGTAAAAGAGTGCTTTGGCCCATGACAATGAGGTTTTGGACATTTATAATGCATCTTGGACCCTAAAAATGACTGTCTGGATCATAAAAAACATGCTTTGGAGCCTGAAAATGAGGCTTTGGACTCTAGAAAGGAGACTTTGCAAACTGAAACTGAGTCTTTGGAGCATGAAAATGGTGTTTTAGAGCCTACACTGAGGCTTTTGAAGCCAAACCTAAGACTTTGGAAAGTAAAAGTGAGGCTTTGGACCCTATACTAAGGCTTTCTGCCTGACAAAACAAGGGTTTAGACCCTAAAAATGAAACTGTGGGCCCTAAAAAAAAAGGCTATGGGTCATAGAAGACAGATTTTTACCTTAAAAATGAGGATTTTGGCCCTATACATGAGGCTCTGGGCACTCAAAAGGCTGGGCAAGATGCTGCAAATGACACTTTGGACCCTGCAAGGGAGGGGAACCTACTGTTTCTGCTACCCTTTGCCCCAGGGTGCAGCGTATGGGGCAGGATTCTGGACTCAAGGACAGGGACACTTTCCCTGGTCATGGGCCAGGCTGTGCCAACCCAGAGCAGGCAGGAGGTGGCCACCTCTGCACACCAGGACAAATGATGACTCACCAGCCTGGCAGGGTGTGTGTGCCTTTTCATGCCCGGGCTGTCTCAAGAAGGAGGCAGGTTGCCTAAAGCATCTCTGCTCAAGGTTTTTGTGAACCCTGATTCCACCAGGTGCTGCCATTACCCCTTTGCCGTCTGCCCCCCTAAAGAAAAGACTGGGATGAGCTGTCCCGCTGACAGTGGGAGAGAGCAGGAATGGCACTGTCTGCTCTGTATGCTCGGCACGCTCCCTGCTTCAAGGACACCACGGCACTAGGTTGGGTGATGCAGCTTTAATTTTCCATTTTCCCAAG